GAGCTTTCCTGTCTCCTGACCAGGGGCCCGGATGGGGATGGAGGGCGGCGACGGTCCCAGGGGCTTCCTCCTCAGCTCCCTCGCCCGGAGCACATCCTGCCGCCCCAGGGACGTCTGGTGCTGAGCGGTGCGCGGTGGAGGGTGTGTGTGTGTGGGGGGGGGTCGAGTAATATCCTTCCTTCCCCCCAGTTGTGGAATATTGTTCTTCCTGTCTCCTGACCAGGGGCCCGGATGGGGATGGAGGGCGGCGACGGTCCCAGGGGCTTCCTCCTCAGCTCCCTCGCCCGGAGCACATCCTGCCGCCCCAGGGACGTCTGGTGCTGAGCGGTGCGCGGTGGAGGGTGTGTGTGTGTGGGGGGGGGTCGAGTAATATCCTTCCTTCCCCCCAGTTGTGGAATATTGTTCAGGGGAGTGGCGCTTCCCGACGTTCCCGAGTTCGGTGCCTGCTCTCCTTCGAGTAATATCCCTCCTTCCCCCCAGTTGTGGAATATTTTTCAGGGGAATGGCGCTTCCTGACGTTCCCGAGTTCGGTGCCTGCTCTCCTGGAGGAGGGCGTCACTTCAATCCCGGATACTGTATATATATATATTTTTAGCTGCAGCGATCCCTATAATGTATGAAGATACAAGGAGAGAGAGACGGGAATGAATATACGCCAGTATTTTTAGGGGCCTTGATCAGCGTTTGGTGTAAGGGAGAAAAGGCCGCTAGTATGGTCAAGAGGATGTCTAGTACTCTTCTAGGCAGGGTACCTTGTTTCCTGTAGAAAAAAAATTAATTAAAAATATGCTTCCTTGATTTAGCCAAGCAATAAGTAGATAATGTTCTGGGATGGGTGTCTAGGACTTGCCTTCCTCCTGGTTTGAAGATGCCCTTTGGATTCCTAATGCTCCTGAAAAATTTGCCTTATCTTTTTAAAATTAGCAAAAATTCTGTTAGTAAAGTGAGTATTCTGTATACATGAAGGCTTGACAGCCGGATCAGAGGGTGGAATAGGGGATAAACTAGGTTCTTTTCTCCCCTGAAGCCTTGGGTTCAGTCCTCAGCCTCTCCAGAACTTGGCCATGCTTGTTGAGGTGTTCCAGACATTGTAGCCTCCAAAGTCAAGTTTCTAGACACAGCATCTCCAGTTAAAAATATCTCTAGGGTTCCTGATAATCTGAGGAGTGGTTGAGGGAGTTCATGCCCTTATTAAGGAGAAGGTGCCATCCCAACAATAACGGCTGTTTGCCTCAACTTCAGCCCTGTAACTGTCAAGCCCTGTGAACGAAGCTGGATTGTGGAGTACGTTGGAGCACAGTGCTCTCATTAAAATTGGTGGAATGATTTCTCTCTGAGTCCTGATCAGTGGTTGGATTGGAAGCCTAGTAGTACTTCAGTTTTTGCTTGATGCCATTTCCTTTAGAGGCCCCATGTGTCTCAGTTTATTGCCTTATTCCTACCTTCTAAGGCTTCTCTTGCGTGTTGCTTCTCCATTCTTGCCTGTGCCAATGGAGGAAACAATCCAACCATGTTACTCTCACAAAATATTTATAAGCAGCTGTACCTTGCGAAGAAATATTAGTCCACAGAATGTGAAAATAGACACCAGACAGTAGTGTAATTGGCTTAGGGTCCAAACTTTAAGATGTAGGACTTGGATTTGGAAGATTTAGGTTCAAGTACACAACTTGTCTGTGAAACTCATATGAATGATTTTGGGCCAGATACACACTTACAACCTAAACTTACCTCACAGGGTTATTGGTAGGATGAAGTGAGAAGAATGATAGCCATGTATGCCACCCACAGACTATTTTGGGACAGGAGTGATATAAATGCAATGTAAAAATAAATATGAGGTATGTCTCTGATGAAAGGTCCGATCCACCTGAGGAACTAATCACCACACCCTGTAGACATAGTTTGTTTCCCATGTGAAGCAAGCTGAGGAAAAACAAGCAGTTATGTTATTCTTTTAAGGGTACCTAACATGTTGTGATACAGTGGCTCTACCCAAGAAAAAAATATGCGGAGATTGCTTTTTTATATGTTAACCTCAGCAAAGCCTTTAACAAAGCACCCATGATATTCTAATTAGCGAGGTAACTAGTTATAGGCTGGATAAAACAACTGTCAGGTGGATACACAATTGGCTTCAGACTTGCACTTAAAGAGCTTATCAATGGCTCTTTCTCAAACTGGGAAAAGGGAACAAGTGGGGTACCACAAAGCTCAGTCCTGGGCCTGATGCTCTTCAGCATTTTGAGGAGGGGGTCGGAATGCCCATCTTACTTACAGATAACACAAAATTGGGTGGAATAACTAATACCCTGGGAGACAGAAACAAAATTCAAACAGATCTCGATAGGCTTCGACACAAGGCTGACAACAACAGAATGAAATTTAACAGGAATAAGTGCAAAACCCAAACACACAGTTACAGGATGGGGGACATTTAGCTAAATAATACTATGAGCAAGAAGGAACTTGGAATTGTTGTAGATCTCAAGCTGAATAGGAGCCAACAGTACAGTATGGCTGCAAAAAAGGCAAATGCTATTTTAGACTCCCTGGACAGAAGTATACAGCACTTATGGCCTCAGAATTTCTATTGAGCATTTTTAAATTTGGTTCATAACCAGTCATTTGATTACCAATCATTTTATGATCATGCTAGTGATCATAAAATGATAATTCAGTGTCTTTGTATATTTTCAAACAGTATAATACAGTGTCTTTGTTTATTTTCAAACCTTTGTAATACCAGTCCTTTTAAAGTGGTTTTCAAGTAATACCAAAACACATTTTGAAGGACCAATACAAATAGAACTACAGTATTCTGCATTAATTACCATGAAGTGACTGCCTCAGGCAGCAGACACTAAATATCACAACAGGCTAACAAATCCATAAACTTTTAAATCTTTTGTTGTAAAACAAATTCTGTTTTAGGCTGTATTAATAGAAATATCAGCTCCAAATCAAGTACTCATTCCCCTCTGATACTGGTTAGGCCTCATATTGAGTATTGTGTCCAATTCTGGACACCACACTTCAAGAAGGATGCCAAAAAAACTGGAGCGAGTTCATAGGAAGGCAAAAAGGATGACAAGAAGACTGGAAACCAAGCTCTATGAGGAAAGCTTCAGAGGAATGGTATGTTTAACCTTGAGAAGTCCGAGGGAAGATATGATAGCACTCTTTTTGGGTTTTTCTGTCTTGTTTTTCAGATAAGAAGAAATCTAAGAAACGATACTATGAAGAAGAGAATGAAGAAGAATATGATGTTCCAGGTAAAGAGTCTCAGGAAGCGGTTCCTTCGGCAGCAGGGAAGCAAGTGGAAGATTCTGCAATCAAGTTAGATGAATATGGAGCAAAGGACTATAGAAGCCAGATGCAGCTCAAGACTGATCATTCCTCACGCCCACTGTGGGTGGTAAGTCCCATTAAGGACATAGCTTTTTGAAATAAATAGCTTTGCTTACATTCATACAAAGGAAACATATTGAGGCATTTGGCTGAGATATAGTGTCATAAAATTTGCTTGAAACAGGATTGGGAATCATGTGGCTCCTCAAAGCAGATGTGTTGGGCCTTGGCCCCTTCAATAAGGTTTTAGGGAGCTTTGGCCATCCATAGGATTGGAGTACAACTTCCACAGATCCTTTGCCATTTACTGGAGCTTCTGGGATTTCAAATCCAAAAATCAGGAGGGCCAAAAGTTCCCCATCTCTGCTTTGAATTACTGTATTTCATTGAAAACCTGAAGGATTGCATTGGTTGCATATAAAGGCCTGAATGAATCCATTCTTCTCTTTCATTAAGATTAATGCAGCAGTTTAATTCTCTAATTTTCAGAGTATGGGCACGTTAGTGTTGTGGGTGAGGAATATTAATCAACATCTAGCCATATTTTTAATGAAAACAAAACCTCTCATCTTGACTTATTACGTAGACACAAGATAGTACTCGAGGGGGAAAATGGCAACTGTGCGCACTGGGACCTCCCAGGAAAATGCTGTACAATGCTTTATTCGATTCTTCCTCTTAGGAGCCCTGAGAGTGAACTCAGGATTCCATTTTCATGAGGTCAGTTCATGACATCCTTGAAAAGTCCATTTTACAAATTCAGTATTTATTAATTTATAATATAATAACATGCCATCAAGTCAAGTCCAAATTAGGGTGATTCTTTCCAGGGTTTTCCACAGAAGTGGTTTACTACTGGCTGTTTTTTAAGGGCTGCCCTGTGCAGCTTGCCCAAGGCTTCATAGCCTGACTCTTCTCTTAGGATGCCCAGTGAAGACTTGAACTCCCCACCTCTGGCTCTGCATCCACTTCCCTAATTCATGTCTTCCCTCTAAGGAGTTTAGGATAGGATATGTAGATAGCTTTCCTGATCTATTTTATGTGGCAACAGGCTGTTGTTTGTGACTGACCCAAGATCATCCAGTGAGGTTTGTGGAGATGTCCAGTGCTCCGCCTTGTCCGGTGACTTTTGACACCTTTCAGCCAGTCACGCCTGATTCTGTGGCCAAGGTGCTTGACCGCTGTCGAGCCACCACCTCCTCCTCGGACCCTTGCCCAGCCTGGCTAATCAAAGCAGCCAGGCCAATAACAACAGAGTGGGCCACCGCAATAATAAATGGGTCTCTCCTTGAGGGCAGATTTCCCTCTGCCCTTAAGGAGAAACTCATTAGGCCCATAAGAAAGAAACCTAGTTTGGCGGTGGACGAGATTGGCAATTATAGGCCCGTCGCCAATGTTTCTTTCATGAGCAAAGTGGTCGAGAGGGTGGTGGCTGACCAGCTTCAGGCACACTTGGAGGAAACAGACGCCCTGGATCCGTTTCAGTCGGGCTTCAGGCCGCGCCATGGCACAGAAACGGCATTGGTCACCCTGTACGATGACTTGTTAAGGGAGGTCGACAGGGGTAAGACGTCCCTGTTGGTCCTCCTCGACATCTCAGCGGCCTTTGATACCATCGACCATGGTATCCTTCTGGGGAGTCTCTCTGAGTTGGGTATCGGAGGCCTGGCTTTGGCCTGGTTCCGCTCATTCTTGGAGGACCGTCGCCAGAGAGTGCAGCTTGGGGAGAGTGTCTCGGCCCCATGGAGCCTCAAATGTGGGGTTCCACAGGGGTTGGCTATCTCCCCAATGCTGTTCAACATCTACATGAGGCTGCTGGGTGGGGTCATCAGGGGGTGTGGCGCATTGTGTCATCAGTACGCTGATGACACCCAGCTCTACATCTCCTTTGCACCAACTGCAGGTGATGCCGTCCTGTCCCTCCAGCGCTGCCTGGAGGCTGTACTGCAATGAGAACGGGCTGCGGCTGAACCTGGACAAGTCGGAAGTCCTGAGGGTGGGTGCCCCTGTTGTGGGCGGCCTGGGTGACTCTCTCTCGTTTGGGGGGGTGGCCCTGGCCGCGAAGAGTGGGGTTTGCAGCCTGGGGGTACACCTGGACCCGACGCTCACCATGGAAACGTAGATGGCGTCGGTTGTCCGCACCGCCTTTTTTCATCTTTGGCGAATTGCTCGGCTGCGTCCTTACCTGGACACAGGGGCGCTCACTACCTTAGTACATGCGCTCGTAATCTGTAGATTAGACCACTGCAACGCGCTCTACGTGGGGCTACCTTTGAAGCTGACGCGGAAACTTCAGGTGGTGCAGAATGCGGCCACCATCATATCTCTCCTATTCTGGCCAAGCTGCATTGGCTGCCCATCCGTTTCCGCGTCGACTTCAAAGTGTTAATGCTTACATACAAGGCCCTAAACGGTTTAGGACCTCGATTGCCAGCTCCCACCTAGATCTACCCGGATCACCCGCACGAGCCAGGAGGTGAGGCTGAGGAGCCTAACGCCGAGGGAGGCCCGGAAGGAAAGAATCGGGCCTTCTCGGCGGTGGCTCCTTGCCTCTGGAACAACCTTTCTCCAGCGATTCGTGCGGCCCCTACGCTGGGCACATTCAAGAATCAGCTAAAAACATGGTTATATGTTCAGGCCTTCCCTCCTGTCAATACTTAATTTTCTTTTTCTTTCTATTTATTTTTTGTTTTATTATATGTGGTGTTGTTTATTTGTAATAATTTTAATGCTTTATTGTATATTTTTATGGAAGCCGCTCAGAGTTGTCAATCCGATCAGATGAGCGGGAAACAAACAAACAAACAAACAAACAAACAAACAAACAAATAAATAAATAAATGGGTTCTCAAGTTCTTAGTTTGTAATGGTGAAGCAGTTTGAACCCACATATCAGGCCCTTATTTTGATTATTTGTGCCAGAGGCTTGAGGGTTCTGGTGGTGCCCAGGAAACACTAAGTTGAAGGAAGTTCTGAAGCTGGTGGGAAAATCTGTGTCTGTCCACTGATAGCAGTTAAATAAAACATCTCTTTATTGCAGGAGTAAAAGCAGTGATAATCTGAAAATAGTAAGGTTACTCTATTAATATTGGATCTTTTCTTCTTTCCTTTTATAGGCTCCTGATGGTCATATTTTTCTTGAAGCATTTTCACCTGTTTACAAGTATGCCCAGGATTTTCTTGTTGCCATTGCTGAGCCAGTTTGCCGTCCCACTCATGTGCATGAATATAAATTGACTGCTTACTCTCTTTATGCTGCTGTCAGTGTGGGTTTGCAAACAAGTGATATCACTGAATATTTGAGGAAGCTGAGTAAAACTGGTGTTCCTGATGGGATTATTCAGTTTATCAAGGTAAGCTGCTGTTGCTCGTCTGTTTGCTTTGCTAGTTTATCTGCTCAGAGACAAAGGGCTAGACACTGACAAAAATATAGTGGAAAGATAGAGTATCAGTGCAGAAGTCAAGATTTTCTTTAATATGATGACCGATAAGGAGCAGCTAACCCAAATCCACTTAGTGTAACATATTTAAGAAGGCAGAGAATGAAAATCAGAGACCACTAAAAGTTCAGTACAGGGTTTATTAAGCACTGGACAGCAGCTGAACAGAGTAAGGTTGCAGGTTGTTTTAAGGTTTGCACAAATGGCATAAAAAGGCACATCCTGCTGAGGGCATTTGGTAGTAATAAATCTTTTGTTGCTACTCGCTGCTGCAAACATAAGCCAGGACCAGCTCTAATACTGGCAGTAGGTTCAGCATGAGATTCAGAGTTCCCAGAATATTTCTCCCATTCTTACATGTGTTAAGAAAAATGGAGTATGAGAATTCCAGCAATTACACAGAAAATGTTCCAATCCTTGCTAGCAGGTACTGTATAATGGAGAGAGGTTCTGTAATGAGCAGGATTCTTTTTTTCTTCTTCAGATTACTGCAGTGCTACTGAAATTTAGCAGTGTATCTTCCCACTTAGCAGTGGAGAAGGAAACTGTGTAATGAGTATGTGTACAACTCAAATTACATGTTTCACAATTCTGATTCTGAACAGTATTATTATTATTATTTTGTAGCTGTGTACTGTCAGCTATGGGAAGGTAAAACTGGTCCTGAAGCACAACAGGTAAAAAGTTAACTTATATTCTTTGAGCTGGAATAGATATTTCTCTTGTATGATGCCTTAGTTTTGACTTGGATGATACATGAGGAAATGGATTTCTCTCTCTCTCTCTCTCTCGGAATAGCTTTGTGGAAGAAAATACAAAGTAGAACCAGAATAATTTTAGCGCATTAGTTACGTTCACACATAGCAATAAGCCGGGCATCCTAGTTTATTAAATCACAGTTTGAATGGTGCAACAGTCCTGCATGGTGGTGCATATAGATTCTTTAGTTGCTTCTCCCATCCTTAGAATGTACTGGTATACAAATTGGACATACTGTACTAGCTTTACATCTGAATTTGCAATTATAGTTTATTGTATTCGTGAAGGCTTTCATGGCAGGGATCTAATGGTTGTTGTGGGTTTTTCAGGCTCTTAGGCCGTGTTCTTCAGAACATGGCCAAAGAGCCCAAAAAACCCACAACAACCATAGTTTATTGGCTCTGATCAAGTCAGGATTTGTAAACCACTTTCAAAGATATATGGCTAACCCATGACTTTGCATTTCCCTCCTTTTTATTGTATCTTTCTCCTCTGTTTCTCTTTTGTGTTTGCACTTTAAAATCTAATTTTTCAAACAAATAAAAATGTAATTAGCTCTAAGGCAGGCATGTTTGTTGTTTTCACAGATCCTTGTTTGCTTAGATAAAACAAACCACATTCCTGGGTTGATACATTGCATCAAACTATTCCAGTCTTTTTTGTTGGTATCAAAAGATGGGAGTGAAGAATCTGTATACCCTGGCTTATAACTCAATTCCCTTGTAGTTTAATAGTGCAGAAGCTGATTGTTATATGAGAATGCAACCAGTTCCGCAATCAGATATAAACTGCAATATCACTTCAGAGTTATCAGAGGCACACAATCCTAAGGAAGCATAAAAAGCTACGGCAGTGTCTTCCTGAATGCCATGGGTACTTTCTAAAATGGTATGAAAAGCTCATGTTTCTGCTATGTTCTTACAGAAGTCCATCTCCTTTCCCTTTTCTTTCCAGGTATTTTGTAGAGAGCACTCACCCAGATGTTATTCAGCAACTTCTTCAGGATCCAGTCATTAGAGACTGTCGGCTTAGAAATGCAGAAGGAGAAGAAACGGAACTCATCTCATAAACATTTACAAGCAAATCAGCTGTAGGTTGAGGCAGTGGTTCATTATACAATGATTTTGTTCTTTCCTTATTACTTTATTATAACTGATCAAGGCTTATCTGTGTTTCTCTTATGGCTTCTCTCCCTGCTATACTTACCTGTTTTGAATATTCAGGTGCAGCTGAAACATCAGAGATAACTGTTAGGAAAGTAGGGGACAGGTTCTGCGGCTTTTGCTCTGTTTATTATTTCATGCCCACGTTCCTGCCAAACAATCATATTTGAGGGTTAATTTACTAGATGCATCTTGTTGTTGTTGTTTAGTCGTTAAGTCGTGTCTGACTCTTTGTGACCCCATGGGCCAGAGCACGCTGGGCCTTCCTGTCTTCCACTGCCTCCCAGAGTTTGGTCAATTCATGTTGGTAGCTTCAGTGACACTGTCCAGCCATCTCATCCTCTGTTGTCCCTTTCTCCTCTTGCCTTCACTCTTTCCCAACATCAGGG